ATGGTGTGGGAGTGAGGTCAGAGTTAATAAGCCCATCAAGGAAGGAAGACCTCTGACCTTGCTCTCATTGGTGCAGTCTGTACCGTGGGAACTAATGGGCCTTGCAATGTCCACACTCTCCAGCACCAATCACTGCCAACACCTACCAACAGCTCTGCAAACGCCTGCTTAAGAACTTCCTTGTAGGGAACCATTCCTTGTGTGCGTTTTTACTGGTTTGTTTATTGATAAGGAGCTGAGTTGGGGAAAATGTTATCAGGGAGATCATACCACAGCCTTTCATTTCTGAACCTCATCATTCTAGGCAGCCCAGAGTTCATCCAGAGACAACAGCCCTTCCCATTACCATATATCCTATTTTTTTTGGAAAACCAACACTGTTTGAAAGTGGGGAGGGGAAGGAGAAGAGGAAAAGAAAGAAACAAATGAACAAGGCCTCTCTTGTTTTTCCTGATAAAAATCTCCTGTCTGGGCAGTGCACTCTGTCTAGAGGAAGGTCTGCCACCCTCCAACCTCTCCCCTCTCTCCCACTGATGCAAAAACACCTCCAAGTCCTCATAATCCTCAAGCAGAGCTCGCACATTGGAAGAGCTCTCGGAGACCCTGGGAAACTCTGCAGGGCTCTATTTACGAGCAGGGCCGGGATTATTCCGGTGTCAGCGTCTGCTCCACTCTGGTCCCCAGTGCTGCCTGCGTGAAGCTCTGGATCTCATTTCAAGAATTCATCTGCTCCAATTTTGTCTCCTACCCGAGGTCTCGACCCTTAGCTGAATTATAATTAGTTGCCCTGAGGATCCTGGAATAGACTCATTTCAGAGGAAAATGCTTTCCGCTAGGCAGTGCCAATCTAGCCTGTAGTTAGCATCTATGAATTTCAACTCCGAGAACTGCCTCTGCTCACGGGGCCCAGAGAAATCTGTCTTTTACGATGGCCCATATTTGCCATACTTTAGACAGGCCTCTCCATAATTCTGAAATTGTTTCTCCCAAATCTCATTTTTACAACAATCACTGCTGAGCAAGTTTGCTTCCAAAGCTGCCTTGAGAATTTCTTCTTGAAACAAGAATAATGATTGCTTTTCTGAAAAATGCAGGTTGCAAAATCTGACAGCAAATGTGCGAGACTGAGGGGTGTGAGGTAAGAGTTTTCTGGGTTCCAGCCCTGATTCATTGAGAAAAAGGGACAACAATAAGAGAATAATAGTTCTCATTCTCATCCGTGCAATGGGACAGTATTCGTTCTCTTCTCTGTCTTTATTAGGGTTTGGGAATGGCACCACATTGGATTAATATATTTGCTCTCTGGAGAAATAGATGCACTTGGAGAATGTCATTCTCCTGAAATTTACCTTTCTTTTTCAAGATTGCTACATTTTTTTATGGGGGGAGGGTCACGTTACTTTTATCACAGAGTACAACATTGAGGAAACTGGGATATTAGAGGTGCAAACCATTATAGTCCAAGACTGGCTATGTTTGATAATGAGCTCGTTTTAGCCAAGAAGTTTGCTCTTTAATACAATGGAAAAGTAATTTATTGAGAAGTGTCTTTGGAGATGAAAAGGAGTAATACACTCCTGCAGATGTTTCACGTAACCTCAGGTGAGGAGGGACAGGGCTATACCGGGAGCTTAGAGAGGGGATTCGTGTCCCTCTTCTGCCACCAGCTAGCTGTGTGCTCCTAGTTCAGCCTGGCCACTGCTCCAGGCCTCAGGTTCCCCATCTGTTAAATGAGCAGGCTGAGTTATATCTGTGGTTTTCACACAATTTTAAGCAGTGGAGCTCTCCTTAGTGAACAGTTTTTTTAGAAACCAAATATAGGCCATCCCAGGAGAGGCACCTGAACCCCACCTGCACCTGTGAGGTTCTCCATACGCCTCACAGTGCTCCCCGAGGCATCCGTGGGCCCTCTCCTGCTCTGAGGTGCAAGGTAAAAGCCAGTAGCCTAGATGACCTTGGAATTCTTTTCTAACTGAACAGAGAAATACAGTTTCTAACCCAGCTGATGCTTAGTTTATGCTACCTCTGGAGGACTAATGCCCTGTGACGCTCAGAGAGGGATCCCACCAAGTGTTGCGGGTCTGTCCCTAGGATGGCTGAAGCCTCAGATAACAGGTGACAGGGATCTGAGCCTGGAACACAAAGATGCGGGCCAGTGCCAGTCACTGAAGGAACTGCTGGGTCTCCCGCAGCCACACCTATCTCGCTGGCTGAAGATGGCCCTGTTGCTAGTGACGGTTTTCAGTGTGTGTGGATGTAGCTGCCATATGTTTCCTTCCTTTCCCCTCCTTCCTCGTTCATTCATTCACCAATTCACAAGCATTATTAATCACCTGCTTTTAGACCACAAATGGCTCAAGAGGAAGACTGACAATGAATAGGTCAACAAATAGCCACGCAGTCACATATGGGGAACAGTGAACAGTGGAAGTGGTGGGGGACCTAATTGAAGATGGTGTGAGAGGAGCAGCCGTGGGAGGAGCTGGAAGAGGACGTCCAGGCAGGAGGGAGCTGGGCGTGCTCTAGGACAGAGGGCCCTGCCACGGCTGGTACACAGACGGGGAGCTGGAGAGTGAGTGCAGCCCACACTGCCGAGGCCTCCAGCACGGCCGTGGCCGTGAGCCCGCTTGGAGCAGGAGCCACACCCGAGGGAAGGCGCGGTGTTCACCCCAGGAGCAGAGGCTGTTCATGCTGCAGCACAGGAAATGGAAGTCAATTAATCACTTGAGCGATGTGCTCATTTATTGCCTTTTCACTGCCCGGCTGAGGGCCCTTAGCCTGTGGGTGGTGGGCCCAAACTGGGAGAAGGCTGCTGTTGGGAGGGGAGACTGGGTGAAGGAAAGCAGAAGAAAGGGAGAAAAAGGCAGCAGCAGAGCCAAGTCCTGGGCTTTGAGTCCACAGGCCTGGGTGTTCCACTCACTGTGTGACTCTGGGCAGGTCACCTAACCCCAGCTCCTCCTCGGAGACCCAGGGATCCCAAGGCCTCCCTCAGAGGTTGTTGTCAAGAATAAATGAGATAACACACTGAAAGGGTCTCCTAAATGGTGAACGGACGGGAGGCAATTTGGGTAGAAGGTGAGACAAAGGCACATTTGTTTAGGGTTTTATGATTCACAAAGCCCTTTCACCCACAGAAAGGGGGATTGTACCTGCACCTCCATGTCTGTACCTTTATCCCTGACTCCCTCGCCTACAAACCAGCCATAAATAATGCCAAAAATATTAATACTAAGTTTAAATGTTTCTCTCTAATGTTCACTATGTGCCAGGCACTGTTCTAGCACTTTACGTGCATTAACTCATTTAAAAGCCACAGCCACCTAAGAGGTAGGTACTATTGTGATCTCATTTTACAGATAAGGGAACTGATGCACAGGGAGGTTAAGTGACTGGGTTCAGGTCACACAGCCAGCAAGTGATAGGCCAGGATCAAGATATAACTATTGTCAGGCTCTCTACTGAAGAACAGGGCTACAGAGACAAGGAGACACACCCTTGCCCTCACTGGGCTCACACATCTCGCTCCAGGGACACAAATAAATCTCACACAAGGCGCTAGATGCTATTGTAACCTTGGTGGAAGCGCTAAGGGAACAGAGGAAACAAACTCGGATTATTCCTTTGTCAAATACATATTAATCCACTCCTATATGCCTAAGGAGCTGGGGACACGTGGTGAACAAGGCCTGTGTGGAGGGCCCTGCTCTCAGAAGGTAGAGTCTAGCAGGGGAGACAGGCAACAAGCCAACATTTACACACATCATGTTTACACTTCACACTGATTTGTGTCTTAATTCTGCCTGTGATAAGAGCTATAAAGGAAGTAAAGGGTCCCACGAGAATGAGTGTATGTAAAGAGTTAGGGAAGACTTACAGATGGTAAGAACTGAGCTCACGATGTGTGTGTACGTATGCATATGTGTGTACACACACACACACACACACACACACATACACACACACGCCAGTGAGACCTCTGTACTAAAGGCGTGTAATCAAGAGTGCAGAATTAAAAGGGGGTGACAGGCAGGTCAGCTTAGATTATTCTGGTACACTTAGACTCCCTCTCTTCACTCCTTATTGGTGCCTCTGCAAGATGGTGAGCAGAGGAAAGGGCTTCGCTTGATTTTGCTGCAACTGGTGAAAGCTTTGATGCAAAGGATAAGCTTGAGACCACTGGCTGGAGGGCAGTGTGGTCTAGTGGTTAAGACCACATGCTTGGGGCCAGACAGACATGGTTCTGTCACCACGTCACCACCTAAGAGCTGTGTGACCAAGGGTAAGTCACTTAACCTTTCTGAGCCTCAGTTTTCTCATCTGTAAAATGGTGTGGTGGATACTGTAGGTGGGCTCACTCAACACCTTCTCTAATCCATTTCTCCCTTTCCTACCTTTACTAAAAGGGGCAAAATTCAAAACACTCACAGTCCCAGCCTCCCTTGCACATAGGGATGCCTGGATGTCAGAGTTCTGGCCAAAAGTCTTTCCTGAAAAATACTTTCCCAAATAAGAAGGCAAAGTCTGGTAAGGAGGAGGCTTTGTTCTTTTTGCCCTTCCTCCTCCTTCCTACCTGAAAGGTAGACTTTCCAGCGGTACAGCAGCCATTTTGTGATCATGAGGATGAGGAAGCAGGAAGAGAGAAGCCTGGTTCTTTGATGGTAGCCTCGAGCAGCTGTACCAATCCTGGATCTTATTATGAAATGAATTAATGAATGAACAAACCCCTTGCTTGTCTGAGCTAATGTTTATCAAGTTTTCAGTTATTTGCAGTTTAACGCATGTCTACAATGATACAAATGGGATAAAAACAGAACCTACTTCATGGGTTGCTGTGAGGACTAAATGTGTGTAGTGTGCCAGATTCATGGCCTGGCACACAGCAAGCATCAGTGAATGGTGGCCCACATGTTGGTGCTGCTGAAGAAGGGAAAACCTGTCACCCCTTTGGTGAGTCACTGGAAGGAGCATGGGGGCAGGAAGCTGGGTGTGGCAGGCCCTACCTCGATCACTGAAGTCGTCGACCAGCACAATCTCGGCGATCAGCTCCGGGGGCGAGCGGTTCAGCACACTGTGCACAGTACGGAGGAGAGAGGACCAGCCCTCGTTGTGGAAGGGGATGATGATGCTGGTGTTGGGGAGTGTCTCCAGGTAGCGTTTGCTCTTGCAGCTAGAGGGAGACACAGGGGACAGGGAGAGGACAGGTTCAGTTTTCACCTTGCCAAGAGAACTCAGGTACACAATTCAGCTAACTGCAAATCCCACTTCCTCTCCAGCCTTTAGGGAATGAGTGAAAGCCAGGGACCCTGAGTCACTTTAGAATTTTCTTCTCCTTGGCATCCTGAAGTCCTGCCTCTCATCCCTGCACATACAGTGCATAGGGATATGTATACAAGGCCCTCCCCCCACCCCCATCAGCTTTGTACAGGTTTGGTGATTTACATGCACTAATTTGTTTAAACCTCAATTGTGACAAGAACACGGTTGCTCATCCTCATGATTCCATGTGGAGGACAGCCCTTCAATAACCTGGCCTCTCTCCCCACCCCTTGTACATTCCTCTCCAATGGAGGAGAAACCATTTAGCCACAAGTTTGGAAGAATAAGCTGGGCTTCACAGGCTCATCGCCTCCTCTCTCCCTCCCTGGGCTCTGCCAGCAGAGGGCACATTTCCATCCTCTGCTCTCCACCAGCCCCATGGTAAGGTTGGGGGTAGAAGGTCCTGCCCCTGTAGGCCTTTAATATCATTATAACACCCAAAAGAATTAACACGGTTCCTTAACATCATCAAATATCCAGCTGGTATTCAAATTTCCCTGATCTTCTTATTCTTATGTGTTTTTTTTTGGTGAGGAAGATTGGCCCTGAGCTAACATCTGTGCCAACCTTCCTCTATTTTATATGTGGGATGCCACCACAGCATGGCTTGATGAGCGGTGCACAGGTCCACGCCCAGGATCTGCACCTGCGAACCCGCAAACCGTAGGCCACCAAAGCGGAGTGTGTGAACTTAACCACTATGCCAACAGGCCAGCCCCTTTTCATATCTTTTTACAGTTGGTTTGTTTAAATCAGGATCAAGACAAGGCCCACACACTGCCTTTAGCTGATGTGTCTCCTAAGTGTCTTTGTTGAAGAAACTGGGCCATTTGTCTTACAGTATCCCCCACAGTCTGCATTTCGCTGCTTGCGTCTCTGTGGTCTTTGAATATGTTCCTCTGTCCGGCCCCCTTTGGTTCCTGTAAACTGGTAGTTAGATTAGAGGCTTGACCTAATTCGATGAGACATTCTGGCAACTTCTTCATAGGTGGTGGTGTGAGCATCCCTTAGAAAACACATAATATCCATTTTTCTTTCCTTTTGTGATGCTGGTGGCCATTGGTGATAAATGCCTAAATCCTTTATTTCATCAGGGGTTTTCAAATGGCGATACTCTAATTCTAACATTCTTCCTTTACAAGCTGGAATACCTCTACAGAGAAAAACTTTGCCACATCAACTATTTGGTTGCCCTGAAGTACAGGAAAGACAGGATAAGTTCTTGATTCTTTATTTACCAGTTTTCAGAAGGACTTGGTTCCCTAGCATCCTCCAAAGGTGGCCAATTATTTGTTTTCATTATGAACTCATACATTTTAATATAATTAACATGTTTCAATTCAATGCAGTTATTATTCTTATTAGTTCCCATATAAGCCCATCTTTAGCCCAAGGGAGTCTTCTCAAGGTGGCTCCTAGTCCTTTGGACATGACCACAGAGAACTGATAGTTTCCCTGCTTTCTGATAAAAGTTATCAAAAGATTCTCCAGGCTTAACTTGTACATTTCCTGCCCTAACCTGGAATGAGCCATTCTGCCAAGGAACCCTGGCTCCTTACTATCATCAATAGCACCATTTAAATACTGCAACATGGGCATTAAGGGCATCATTACTATTGGGTTGGTTACAGTTTCTATGCCTTTACAGTGGTCAGAGCTAGAAGTATATTTTAATAGGTACATCATGAGTTTATGCTGAAATTTTATATTTAATATATAGGATTACAGAGTTTTACTGAACTTTATTTTATACTGTATCTCCTCTTTTACTGAAATATAATTCAGATATCATAAAATTCACCATTTTAAAGTGTATAATTCAGTAGTTTTTAATATATTCACAATGTTGTACAACCGCCACCACTACCTAATTCGAGAACATTTTCAGCACCCCCAAAGAAACTTCACATCCATTAGCAGTCACTACTCATTATCCCTTCCTCCCAGTCTCTGGAAACCATTAATTTGCTTTCTTTTTTCATGGATTTGCCTATTCTGGACATTTTATATAAATGGAATCGTATAATATGTGGCCTTTTGTGTACGGTTTCTATCACTTTGTATAACGTTTTCAAGGTTCATCCATGTTGTGCAGGCATCAGTACTCCCTCTTTTCATGGCTGAATATTCCTCCACTGTATGGATATACAGTAGTCACCCCTTATCTGCAGTTTCACTTTCTGCAGTTTTAGTTACCCATGGTCAACCACAGTCTGAAAATACAGTACAGTAAGATATTTTGAGAGAGAGAGAGCACATTCATATAACTTTTATTACAGTATACTGTTATAATTGTTCTATTTTATTATTAGTTATCATTGTTAATCTCTTACTGTACCTCATGTATAAATTAATATGATAAAGTTATCACAGATATGTAGGTACAGCAAAAAACATAGTATATACAGTTGTCCCTCGATATCTATGGGGGATTGGTTCCACGACCTCTGGCCAATACCAAAATCCGTGGATGCTCAAGTCCCTTATGTAAAATGGCACAGTATTTGCATATAACCTATGCACATCCTCCCAGGATCTTTAGGTATCTTATAATATCTAATACAATGTAAATGCTATGTCAACAGTTGTTATACTGTATTGTTTAGGGAATAATGACAAGAAAAAAAAGTCTATGTGTTCAGTACAGATGCAACCATTGTAGGCCTTTTGACGCATGGCTGGTTGAATCTGTGGCTGCAGAACCTGTGGGCCGACTGTAAAGGGTTTAGTTCTACCTGCGGTTTCAGGCATCCACTGGGAGTCTTGGAATGTATCCCTTGTGGATGGGGGGGACTACTGTACCACTTTTTATTTATTGTTTCTACCTTTGGCTATTATGAATAATGCTGCTATGAACATTCATGTACAGGATTTTGTGTGGACATATGTTTTCAATTCTCTTGGGTACATACCAAGGAGTGGAATTGCTGCGTCATAAGGTAATTCCATGTTTAACACTTTAAGGAACTGCCAAACTGTTTTCCAAAGTAATAGCATCATTTCACATTCTCACCAGCAACGTATGAGGGTTCTAATTTCTCTGCATGCTCACAAACACTTGTTACCATCCATCTTTTTGATTATAGCCATCCTAGTAGGTGGGAAGTGGTTTCTCATTATGGTTTGATTTGCATTTTCCTAATAACTAATGATGCTGAGTATATCTTCATGTGCTTATTGGCCATTTGTATATCTTCTCCGGAGAAATGTCCAGTAAATATGTATTTCAATTTTATTTATTTATTTATTTTTTATAATTTTATTTATTTATTTTTCCCCCCAAAGCCCCAGTAGATAGTTGCACGTCATAGCTGCACATCCTTCCAGCTGCTGTACGCGGCACACGACCTCAGCATGGCCAGAGAAGCGGTGCGTCGGTGCATGCCCGGGACCCGAACCCGGGCCGCCAGCAGCGGAGCGCATGCACCTAACCGCCAAGCCACAGGGCCGGCCCTGTATTTCAATTTTAGATTGTTCCTTGCTAGTGTATTGAAATACAATCAATTTTTGTACATTGAGCTTGTATCCTGCAACCTTGCTGAGCTCATTTATTAGTTCTAGTAATTTTTTGTGTGTAGATTCCTTAGGATTTTCTACATACAAGACAATGTCATCTGCAAATAGAGAGTGTTTACTTCTTTCTTTTCAATCTCCATGCTTTTTATTTCTTTTTCTTGTCTAATTGTCTTGGCTATAAACTCCAATACAATGTTGAATGGAATTGGCAAGGGCAGACATCCTTGCTTTGCTCTTGATCCTAGGAGGAAAAGCTTTCAGTCTTTCACCATTAAATATAATGTTAGTGTGAGTTTTTCATAGATGCCCTTTATCAGGTTGAAGAAGTTCTCTTCTATTCCTAGTTTGTTGAATGTTTCTATCATGAAAAAGTGTTGGATTTTGTCAAATGCCTTTTCTGCTTCTATTGAGATGATCATATGGGTTTTGTTCTTTATTCTATTAATATAGTATATTACACTGATTGATTTTCATATGTTGAACCACCCTTGCATTCCTGGGATAAATCCTACTTGGTCATGGTGTATAATCCTTATCTGTTGCTGAATTTGGTTTGCTGGTATTTTGCTGAGGATTTTTGCATCTATTCATAAGGGATATTGGTATACAGTTTTCTTGTGATGTCTTTGTCTGGTTTTAGACATTTTATCTCCTTTGCTCAAAATCTAGGTTCTTAACATTAACACAGTTATTTATGTGCTTTTTCCTATAACATATAATAGTTTCAGAAGAACAACACCAATATTATCGCTAACAGTATGATTATAGAAAATTTAAGACTTGTTTTGTCCTTCATTTCTTTTCATCTGTGGAGTATATTTCATTAGGGATACTGGGGATTTTCTCAGAGCCCAGAAGAAGGGACCCAAGGACCAGGCAGGCTCAGAGGGAATGAGAGAACTGTCTGCCTTGTGTGTCCAGCCAGAAGCCAGGAGTGGCAGGCAGAGTAGCGGCCCCTGAAGATGTCCAAGCCTTAATCTCTGGAAGCTGTGAACATATTACCTTACACAGCAAAAGGGACTTTGCAGATGTGATTAAGGTTAAGGACCCTGAGATGGGTTTGAGGAGCCTGGATTACCCAGGTGGGTTCAATGTAATCACAGGGTCCTTAAGAGCAGACAACTTTTCTGGCTGGGTCAGAGAGATAAGAAGAAAGAAGTAAAGATTTGAAGTGTGAGAGGGACTCAACCCACTATTACTGGCTTTGAAGATGGAGGAAGGGGGTCATGAGCCAAGGAAGGTGGGTGGCCTTTGGAAGCTGGGAACGGTCCTCAGCTGACAGCAAGGAAATGAGAGTCTCACTCCTCATAACTAAATTCTGCCAACAACCCAGAT